GGGCGCGGAGGAGCCCGGGCTGCTCGGGTCGGGGCGGCGGGCGCTCGGCCCCGCGGACGGCCTGCCCTCCCCGGTCTCAGGCTTCGAAGACCCCTCACCCCCTGGCGCTTCCTGTGCGGGACGGTAACTCCGGAGAGATTTCACGTTTTGGAAAAGTTACGGAGAAACTTTCAAGCGTAGACACAAGGAAAGGTCGCGATCGCTGGGTGTATACGTTCGCGTTCAACAGTTGCCATGAGCTGTCACACGTTTCACGCGATCACCTCCCACACCGCTTTGCTGAAAGAATTGCTTTTCTTGCGGTGCTGAGAATGGAACCCACTGAACTACATTCCTAGCTCTTTTCATTTACTGATGTTTTAAATTTTGAGACAGTGTCTCACTAAGCGGCTCAGGCTGGGCCAGAATTTGTGATTCTTCTCCCTCAGTCTCCCAGAGTGCTGGGATTACAGGCGTGTGCCACGACACCCAGCTCCTTTGCTGAAATATTTTCAAGCAAACTTTGGTCATTTCATCCCTGCTTGAGTGTGCATTTCTTAAAACACGGTTCTTAGGAATGAAAAAAAATGCATGTATGTATTACAATTGAATTAAATTTGGTGCGAATAAACAGTAACTACCTTGTTTAGTGTGTGGGCTGCAGGAAAGCAAGCAAGCAACGTTTCGTAGCACTGTATATCTGATTTAAATAAGGATGTCCAGAAGCAATTTCATTTTCTTGGTTGGTTAAAAATGCTTTGTCAGTTTCATGTAAGAATTATCATACGTTTGAACTAAAATTTAACAAAACATGAAAACATTTGAGCGACACCATGTTACTTTGATCCCATTCAAAAAAAAAAAAAAAACAGCTGGATTTGAGTTGAATGCTGTCTGGCTTCACATTCACGCCACAGCTGGCAAGGAGTTAGTGACCATTTCTGTGGAAGGCTGTTGAATTGTGTTCTGTACAATATCTCTTAATATTAAAAGGGTAGAAATAGCATTGCTGCTTCTCTTGTTATGTTAGGGATTTTGGAAAATCAGAATTTATTTTCCAAATGTAACACAAGACCCAACCCCCCCATTGTTGTGGACAAGTTGTAAAACTCGTTTTTTTGGTTTTGAGACTGGGTCTGTTTAGCTCAGGCTGGCCTTGAACTCACAGTGATCCTCCTGCCTCAGCCTCCTCAGTGCTGGGATTACAGGCATGTGCCACAATGCCCAGCTTTATCATTTTTTTTTTTTTTCCCTATTTTTCTTTTGTGGTAGTGGGTATGGAAGCCAGGACCTTGCACATGTTAAACAAGTGCTTTACCACTGAGTTATATCCCTAGCCCTGTCATCTTTCCTAACTTTTGTTTGTTTGCTTGCTTGTTTTGTGTGATGATGGTTTTTCTGAGACAGGATCTCACTGTATTTCATGCTGGCCTTCAGCTTGCAGCAGTCCTCCACCTCAGCCCTCTGAGTGTTGGGATCACAGGCCTGCGCCACTCCACCTGGCTCCCTATCTTTCTAATTGGACTAACTTACGATCATTGTAACTTTTACGGCTCAAGTGGCTATGCTGCATAGAATCATAGAAATCAGTGTAACTTGGATTTCTATTTATAAACAAGGCAAAAATAAATTGTACACAGTGAAATGCCACTTAACACCCATTACCATTAGTATGACTGTTACTAGAAAGTATTATACAGTACATGGCACCTAACATGTAGCATATATCAGTACCTCATTCCTTTTTTTGGGAAAAGGAGTCTTGCTGTGTTACTCAGGCTGCTTTCCAAAGCCTTAATTGAGGCTGGGCATGTTGACACAGCCCTGTAATCCCAGCACTTGGGAGGCTGAGGCAGGAAACAGGAGACTCACTCTCGAGTTCAAGGCCAGCCTGGGCAACGTAGTGAGTTCAAAGCAAGTCTACATAGTGAGACCCTTCTCAAAAAAGCAAACAGGAGCCAAGAAAGCCTTAATTGCTTCTGCCACCTCAGCCTCCCCAGTGCTGGCACTACTGCTGGTCCTGCTTTGCCTTTTCATTCCTTGTTACTGCTGAGTATTATTTCATTGTTTGAATGTAGGTCCTGTACCACATTTTGTTGGGTATACTGTACCACATTTTGTTAAGGTGTTCATCAGTTAATTGGATTGTTTCTACTTTGCAACTATTACGAATCATGCTGCCATGAATATTCATTTGTACAAGTTTGTGAATAGAAGTGTATTTTCGTTTTTCTTGAGTATATGCCTAGGAATAGAATAGCTGGGCCATATGGTAAATCTGTGTCTAACCTCAAAAGGAATTGCAGTGGTGTTTTCTTGAGTGGCCTTAGCATGACTGATGAGCATCTTTCTGAGTATTATTTGTTGGCCATTTGTACATTTCCTTTAGAGAGTTGTCTTTGAAGCCTTCATACATAGGGTTGTCTTTCCATTTTTGGGTTGTAGGAGTTCCTTATATAGTGAAGATACAAATCATCTATCAGGTATATGATTTAGATATTTTCATCCATTCAGTGGCTTGTCCTTCCTCCCCCTTTTTTAAGTGCAGGGCTTGTGCATGCTAAGCATGTGCTGTGCCACAGAACTACGTCTCTAGTCCCTGATGACTTTTTTTTTGAGACAACTATTTAGTACAGGCTGGTCTTGAACTCACTGTGCAGTCTAGGCTGGGCTCTAACTCACAGCTGCTCTCCTACACTTGCCTTCCAAGTGCTGGGGTTACAGGTATGTGCTGCTATGCGCAGCTCCTTCCTGGCTCAGCCGCCTAAATCCTGGGATTACAGGCATATGCCACTACGCCCAGTTTTAGTCCCTTGAATTTCTACATGACATTTAAGATTTGCTTGTCAATTATTGTGAAGACACCAATATGGCTTTTTATTTTTATTTTGTTTATCTTATTTTTGAGATAGATTCTGCTGTTTGTTCTAGGCTGGTCTTGAATTTACAGTGTAGCCTGGGCTGGCCTTGAATTCCTTCCTCAGCTTCCTGAGTGCTGGGATTACAGGTGTACACCAGCAGACTGTGAGTTTTCATTCTTTGGCACAGAATAACTTTAGTCTATACCTCAGCTGAAGGATGAGATTATTCCAGGATTAAGTATTTACTCTATAAAAATGGGTGATGGGCTGGGGATGTAGTTCAGCGATAGCATGTGGGATGGCCTCGGTTTCTGCTGAAGAAGCGACTTGTAGAAAATAATAGATGTATTTTGCTCATTAAGAATCTTTTTTTTTTTTTTTTTTTTTTAAGGATTTAAGAATTTGGGGCCAGGGCTATAGCTCAGTGGTGCAGTACCTGCCTGGCAAGCACAAGGTTCTGAGTTCGATTCTTGGTATCAAAAAGAAAATTTTATTTCAAGATTATTTCAGAAAACTGTGGTTTTCTTGGTTGGAGCCTGAGTGGACAGAATTGTTACATCTAAAGAAACAGAGAATTTCTGAGATAAATTGCTTTTATTTAATTTATGTATAAAGATCTATGTGCTCATGATAAGAATTAATAATAATTTTAGTGTGGTTGGAGGAATGAAAATAGGTGTTGGGACAATTTTTTTATGTCTTAAAACATGACTTACTAGGATTGTTCTTTAATACTATATATTCATCATAAATTGTTCTCATTGTAATGTTTTTATTCACCCCTGTAGTATACAGCACTTTGCAATTAAAACAAAGTATGACTCTTCAAAGGCTGGAAACTGGACCTTTTAGCTTGTGTTATTTTTCTTGTATTTAAAGTTCTATTTAAAGTAATTTAGGTAGTGGCACACACACACAATCCCAGCAACTTAGGGGACAGTCATTTAGATCAGTTAATCAGTAAAATTCGTTCAACTATAAGCAAATGGCTTGTGTTTTCTTAGTCCTTTCTAGGCTGGGTAATATTAGGAAATCATTCAGTCCATTTTTTTTTCACTTATAGTTTAAAAAAATCTTTTATGTGTATTTGTGGCATTGAGTTTAAACCCAGGAATGTTAGACAAGCACTCTTGCCATTAAGCCACATCTGCAGCCCAGTCCATTTATATTTAATAACTCTGTATGTGCTCACGTCTGTAGTAGACCAAAAGTGGTGGGAAATTCCCTATTTCTACTCCTTAGGAGCTTTTAGTGTAAACTGGGAG